AACACAAATAATCAACAAAAGTGAGACATGAAAACCTCAACGTGCATTAAGTGCAAGAAGAAATAATAGAATCGAGCCTGGCTGATTTTTCCCTTTGTTGTACAAGCTACAAATTGATTCAGGCTCTTTTACCCTTGAACCCCTGAGAGTGACTGGCATCTAATTTCTCCTTACCATATCACGCCTGAATCAAACATTAAGGTCAGGAGAATGAAGGAGCTGATCACCTACTTAAGAAGCTCCTGATTGTTGGACAAATTCTCCATGTTGGCATATTAGGAAATGTTTACAGAACAGTATGGAGAATATGCATACTGATGTTAGGGTGTAAAGGGTTCAGCTACACTGTGAGTGGTCAAAATCCTCTGATCAAATTTACAGCCACATCCTCCTTGCGCTTAGAGCTTGTCACTCTGTTCATCACGCCAGTTCATACTGGCTTATCACGTTGCCTCTGTATGTTCCACTTGCCTTTTACGTGGTTCTGGGCCCAGTTGTTCGAAGGCCAATAAGCACTAACCCAAGGTTAAATTGCAATCTGGATTTCTTTATTCCTTAGTTCAAAAGCCTTTTGGAATGATTTTCTGTGTTCTTTGTACAGCATCAAATAATAATATTCTAGAAAAAAAGAAATTCAACCAAATTTTCTTTAAAAGCTTTCAGATCTGATATCCAATTTCTGATTTCACACTAACAACCCAGCCCTGGGGTTTTTTTTAAGACAATTAAAAGCCTTTCTTTGCTGTTCATCAATTTGGCGCCGAAACCAGATTTTGGTTGCAAAATGTCACTTTGCAATTTATTAGCTGTGATCTCATCAACACATGAACATTACCTCTGAAGGAAGCATGTCGGAAGTTGTCAGAAAAACTGGGAGGTAAAAATCGGACATAGCAGGTAGGAATTCACCGGGAGGGAACTGGTTTAAGTATCTCACTAAAGCATGAAAATCCTGCACACAAGGGAAAAGAAAAAAACACAGAATTACACAAATTGCACCAAAGTAAAGGGCTACAAAGAATTTTTACCCCATGTAACAAACAACAGTAGAAAAATACCTTTATTATGAAACTACACATAGAGGCTTTAAGGTGAAACTCATAGACAGGCTTAAGAGAGTGTCTCTGTAAGAGCGGTCCGGTCGATTTTGCTTGAGATACGGAT